AATGGTGTTCTCCAGCAGCCAAGTCTCCCGGTGCCTCAGCAAAACTCTGGGAGCTTTACCAAGAGGTAAAGCTCCAGGCTGAAAGACATCTGCCAGTGAAACATCCCTGGGCAAGGCTTGAGTGATCAGGAGTCAAAGAAAGGAGCACAAGGTCCAGGTGGACAGGTGTCCCCCAGGGGCCAGACTCCCCACTTTTACCCCTAGAACTCCAGTGTTGCTGATTCCAGCCCAACACCAGGTAAGCTGCCAGAACCCTACAGCCTCCAACTGCCAACATCAGAGGCCCCAGCACACAAAGCCAGTGACTAAGACCTAGGCTCCCAGCACAAGAAGCTTGGGTCGGTGCCCTCTGCTCACCAGCAGGAGAGCTCAATCTCTTTAAAGGCCAGGGAATAAAGAAACACCATGAGTAAAAAGAAACAGACAATGACCATAGATTCTTATTATGAGGACAGGGAGGATCAAGGCAGAAATTTAGAAGGGGACAACACTGTCAACATACCCACATTTGAAACCTCAAAAGGGAATATGAATTGGTCTCAAGCCCAAAAAGCCTTCTTGGAAGAGCTCAAGAAGGATTTTAAAAGTCAAATAAGAGAGGTAGAAGATAAACTGAGAAAAGAAATGAGAGGTATGCAAGAGAGAGTCAACAGCTCAGAAAAGGAAGGACAAAAATTAACTGTAGAAAACAAGTCCTTAAAAAATACAATTGGCCAAATGGAAAAAAGTACACTGAAGAAAACAACTCCCTAAAAAGCAGAATTGGCCAAATGGAAAAGGAGGCACAAAAACTCACTGAGGAGAACTCCTTAAGAAGTAAAATGGGCCAAACAGAAAAGGAGGTACGAAATCTATAGAAAACAATTCATTAAAAATTAGAACTGGAGGGGCAGCTAGGTGGCACAGTGGATAGAGCTTTGGCCTTGGAGTCGAGAGGACCCGAGTTCAAATCCTGCCTCAGACACTTGACACTTAAGCTGTGTGACCTTGGGCAAGTCACTTAAGCCCAACTGCCTCACCCCCCCCCCCAAAAATTTTAGAATCGGGCAAGTGGAAGCTAATGACTCTATGACAGAGCAAGAATTAGTCAAACAGAAACAAAAGAATGAAAAAATACATGAAAATGTAAACTACCTCACTGGTAAAACTGATCTGGAAAATAGATCCAGGAGAGACAATTTAAAAATTATTGGTCTACTTGAAAAACATGATGAAAAAAAAGAGCCTGGACAGCATCTTTCAGGAAATCATCAAGGAAAACTGCCCTGAGAGCCTAGAACCAGAGGGTAAAATAGTCATTGAGGGGCAGCTAGGTGGCACAGTGGATAGAGCACTGTCCCTGAAGTCAGGAGGACCTGAGTTCAAATCCGGCCTCACAACAAACACTTGACACTAGCTGTGTGACCCTGGGCAAGTCACTTAACCCCAATTGCCTAAAAAAAAAAAAACACACCCCCATTGTCTCCTGAAAGAGATGCCAAATTGAAAACACCAAGGAATATTGTAGCCAAATTCCAAAATTACCAGGTCAAAGAGAAAATACTGTAAGCAGCCCGAAAGAAAACAATTTAAATATCGTGAAACCACAGTCAGGATTATGCACGACCTTGCAGCTTCTACATTAAAAGATCAGAGGAATACAACATTCCTTAAGGCAAAGGAGCTTGGATTACAACCAAGGATCAGCTACTCAGAGAAACTGAGCATCATCTTTCAGGGGAGGAGATGGATATTCAAAGTAGGGGACTCCCAAACCTTCCTGATGAAAAGACCAGAGCTCAACAGAAAATCTGATCTTCAAATACAAGACTCAAAAGAGGCATAAAAAGGTAAACAGGACAGAAAAAACAATAACATGTTATTAATAAGGGCAAACTGTTTACATCCCTACAAGGGAAGATGACACTTGTAACTCTTGAGAACTGTGTTATTATGCCACTTAAAAGGGGTATACATAGAAGGGGTTCGGTATAAGGTGACTTTGATATAAAGATAAAAAAAATCTAATTAAGTGGGTAAAGTAGATCTAATTAAGTGGTTTAAGTGAATCTAATTAAGGAATTATACTGGGACAAAAAGGAAAGGAGGAGGCAGATAAGGGTAAATTACATCACGTGAAAAGGCACAAAAACCTATTACAGTAGAGGGAAAGACGGGAGGGAGATGAGCATTGTTTGAACCTTACTCTCATCAGATTTGGTTCAAAGAGGGAATAACATAATCAGCTAGGTACAGAAATCTAACTTACCCTATAGGAAGTAGGAAGGGAGAAAAGGAAAAGAAAAGGGAGGGGGTGAACAGAAGAGAGGGAAGAAGTAGTAAGGATAAAGGAGAAGAAAAGGGAAGGGGCTAATAGAAGGGAGGGTAGAATGAGGGAGGCAGTGGTCAAAAGCAAAACACTAGTGAGGAGGGAAATGGAGAAAGGAGAGAGAAAAGCATAAAGGGGAGGAGGGGGGAACAGGATGGAGAGAAAGACACAGATAGTAATCATAACTGTGAATGTGAATGGGATGAACTCTCCCATAAAATGGAAGCAATAGCAGAGTGGATTAAAAACCATATGCTGTTTACAAGAAACACATCTGAAGCAGAGGGATACACACAGAGTAAAGGCAAAAGGCCAGAGCAGAATATATTATGCTTCAGCTAAAGTTAAAAAAAGCAGGGGTAGCAATCCTGATCTCAGACAAACCAAAAGCAAAAAATAAATCTAATTAAAAGAGATAAGGAAGGAAACTACATCCTACTAACGGTACCATGGACAATGAAGTAATATCATTACTAAACCTATATGCACCAAGTGGTACAGCATCCAAAATTTCTAGAGGAGAAGTTAAAGAACTTATGGGAAGAAACAGATAACAAAACTATACTAGTGGGGGACCTCAACCTCCCCCTCTCAGAACTAGATAAATCTAACCACAAAATAAATAAGAAAGAAGTTAAGGAAATGAATAGAATTTTAGAAGAGTTAGATATGGTTGACCTCTGGAGAAAACTGAATGGGGAGAAAAAGGAATACCTTTTTCTTGGTGCTACATGGCACCTACACAAAAAATGACCATGTACTAGGGCATAAAAACCTCACAATCCAATGCAGAAAGGCAGAAATATTAAATACATCCTTTTTAGATCATGATGCAATAAAAATTACATGTAATAAAGGGCCATGGAAAGACAGACTAAAAATTAATTGGAAACTAAATAACTTAATCCTAAAAAATGAGTGGGTCAAACAACAAATCACAGAAACAATAACTTCATCCAAGAGAATGACAAAAATGAGACAACATACCAAAACTTATGGGATGCAGCAAAAAAATAGGTATCTCTAAATGCTTACATGAATAAAATAGAGAAAGAAGAGATTAAGAATTGGGCATGCAACTAAAAAAGCTAGAAAAAGAACAAATTGAAAATCCCCAATTAAAATATCAAAATTAGAAATTCTGCAAACCAAAGGAGAGATTAATAAAATGGAAATCAAGAAAACTATTGAACTCATACATAAAACCAAGAGCTGGTTTTATGGGGAAAAAAACCACAATAAAATAGATAAACTTTTTGTTAATTTGATTTAAAAAAATAAAGAAGAAAACCAAATTACCGGCATCAAAAATGAAAAGGGTGAATTCACCACCAATGAAGAGGAAATCAAAACAATAATTAGGAGCTATTTTGCCCAACTGTATGCCAATAAATTTGACAATCTTAGTGAAATGAATGAATATTTACAAAAATATAAATTGCCCAGATTAACAGAAGAGGAAATAAAATACGTAAATAACCCCATATCAGAAAAAGAAATTGAACAAGCCACCAAATGTACTCTCTAAGAAAAAATTTCCAGGACCAGATGGATTTATGAGTGAATTCTATCAAACATTTAAAGAACAAGTAATTCCAATACTATATAAACTATTTGGGAAAATAAGTGAAGAAAGACTCCTACCAAATTCTTTTTATGATACAAATATGGTTTCTGATACCTAAACCGGGAAGAGCCAAAACAGAGAAAGAAAACCATAGACCAATTTCCCTAATGAATATAGAGGGGAAAATTCTAAATAAAATATTAGCAAAGAGATTACAGCAACTTATCAGGAAGATAATACACTATCCCCAGGAAGGATTTATACCAGGAATGCAGGGCTGGTTCAATATCAGGAAAACTATCAGCATTATCGACCATATCACAACAATACTAACAGAAATCATATGATCATCTCAACAGATGCAGAAAAAGCTTTTGACAAAATACAACATCTATTCCTGTTAAGAACACTAGAGAGCATAGGAATAAATGGAGTCTTCCTTAAAACGATAGGTAGTATCTATCTAAAACCATCAGCAAACATTATATGTAACAGGGATAAGCTAGAAGCATTTCCAGTAAGATGGGGGGTGAAACAAGGATGTCCATTATCACCAAATGTTATTCAGTATTGTACAGAAATGTTAGCTTTAGCAAGAAGAGAAGAAAAAGACATTGAAGGCATTAGAATAGGCAAAGAAGAAACAAAGCTACCACTCTTTGCAGATGATATGATGATACACTTAGAGAATCCTAGAGAATCAAGAAAAAAATTACTTGAAATAATAAACAAATTCACCAAAGTTGCAGGATATAAAATAAACCCACATAAGTCATCGGCATTTCTATATATTACTAACAAAGCCCAACAGCAAGAGATAGAAAGAGAAATTCCATTTAAAGTTATACTAGACATTATAAAATATTTGGGAGTCTACCTACCAAAACAAACCCAGGAACTATATGAACACAATTAGAAAACACTTTTCACACAAATAAAGTCAGATCTAAATAACTGGAAAAATATCAGTTGCACATGGGTAGGATGAGCCAATATAATAAAAACGACAATTCACCTAAAAGAAAAAAAAGAAGAAAGCTTCCTAGAGTTCGAGATTTTACTTGTGGTTTTTGAAAGGAAGTGAACTTCTTATTTCTAGAGGATTATTCAGGTTAACAACATTACCTATTAGAACTGATTTTCTGAACGAGATGTGAATCCATTGTGTTGGCTGGCATAATACTGGAAGAGCACAGAACTACAGAAGAAACCCAGGTCAAAGTGGAAATCATGCCATAGGAGGCGACAGGGACCTCTGAGCTTGGAAGGCATAGGGAGCAAAGGAAAAGCTATCCAACAAACATATGAAGGACTGTCAGGTGAACTAGGGATTGTGAGTCTTGTTTTGCTGAAGCCTCAGCCGGTAGAAATTAAAAATGCAAGAGGCAAGGTGTTGGCCTGACATCAGGAAAATCTTCCTACAGGACTTGTTTAAAAAGTTGAACAAATGTGCTTGATGGGTAGGTACTAGGATTCACCATTGCTGGGGGTCTTCCAGGCTGGATGACCACTTGGTAGGGCACTGCAGTGTGGGCTCCAGTTCAGGTCCTAGGGTGGACTAGTAGACCTACCTACGTGGGAAGAAGCAGCTTGGTGCATGGAAAGGAGGCTGGATTTGGGTGGCCTCAAATCCTTCTTCTGCTACTTACTAGTTGCTGTATAACCTTGGACAAGTAAGTTACTTTCCCTGTTCGGGTCTCAGTTTCCTCAACTGTAAAAGGGGATAATAATAAAACGCACTTCACAAAGTTGGGGATAATAATGCCAACTACCTCACAAAGTTATGAGGAGGATCCAATGAGATAACATATGTAGTTTAAAGGAGTCGGTTGGACTAGAAAAATAACCGCCCCTGGAAGATCTAATGTTCTAATCGCGATACTAGCCCTTAAATAGCGCTGGAAAGCACTTGCCAGATGTTTACTTCACATGATCCCAAAGCAGAATCTCGAACAGGGGAGGGGGGCCTCCAACTTTGAAATAGCACTTTGAAGGGCTTGTCAGGTGTTCTCTCACGTGGTCCCTCAACGGGACCTCTAAAGGGGGAGGGCAGCTGCAAACTTTGGGACTCGGTAATTTCGGGAACCAGAAGGAGGGATCGCTTCAAGGGTGGCTCCCCAGGTCAGTGTGACCTCAGCGGCCCCTTGCCCAGCGAAATGGGGAAAGCAGCGCTCGCCTCGCCTACCCCCGACACAGAGCACGGGCTTCAGCTACTCCACCAGCACTCGGGAAGCGCCCGTCCCCTCGGAGAGAAGAAGACGCAGAAGCGGCGGCCCCCCGAGGGGCCGGAAGCACTTGGGGATCCGTTGCGGGCGGACAGGAGGCGGGTCCCCTCCCCCTTTCTCACAGGTCCCGGGCCCCAGACATCCCCTCCCCCAGCACTGACCGGCACGTGACCTGCTTGGTGCTCATGATGGAGGGCGAGTGAGTGACTGAAGGACAGACGGCTGGATAGAGAGGCAGCCGCTGGCGTACCCACGCTGCCGCTGCCGCCGCCGCCGCCTCCGCTCCCGAGCGTTTGGCTTCTTCCGCCCGGGGCGCCGCTGCTCTGCCCGGTTTCTGCGCCCCGCCCCGCGGAGCCGCTACGTCACCGGGCCCTCCACTCCGTTCCGCCCCGCCCTCCTGGGCCTCACCTTTGTAGTGCCGGCCGGAAACTCCGGCGCCGTCACAATTGGTTCCGCCTCCTGGGCAGAGCCCGTCCCCGGATGCCGCGCCTGCGCACAGCTTGGCTCCTCCACGTTCGCCCAGGCTCGCCTGGTCCCGCCTCCTGGTGCCCTGCTGCAGCTTCGACCTTGCTCTGGACGTCGCGGTCCCTGCCCCTCGGCCCCAGCTGTCCCCAGCCCTGCCCCGGCCATCCGTCCAGACCCTGCTCTACTTCTGCTGTCCCATCTTACTTTCCTCAGCCCTCTTGAGCTCCTGCCACACCGCCTCTTTCTCCGGCTCCACGATCCCCTGGGGCGTCTGCTTGGCCCCCCATTTGCAGCTCTGCCCCGGCACCCTCATTCCTCTGTTGCCACCTGGCTGCGCTCAGACAGCTCCCCCTGATCCCTGTGGCTCTCCCCAGACGAAGGCCTCTCCACCACCCTGTTTGCCCCACTGGAAAGGCCCCCATGGGGAGATGGTTTCGTCACGTCTGACCCCTTGTCCTCGGTGTTCCTCCCAGAGTCCCTGTCCCGACTGTCCTCCTTCAGCTTCCTCGCCCTAACCTGATGCCTCATCTTCAGCATCTTCCAACCTTCCCTGTCTGCGACCGGGACATAATTGCCTCTTCTTAGCCCCGGGTCCCTCTCCAGCCATTCATCCTCGTCCCAAACGTCATTTGGCATCCTCCTCATTCTTTCCCAGTTGTCTCTTTCCCCGTACTGTCTGTCCAGATAACTCTTGCAGGGCTTCCAGGATTGGGTACTCTGGCTCAAGTCACAGATCCAGCTGCCCCCTTCCAGCTCCCACACCCTGCCCAATTTGTTCCTCCGAAGCTGTGTCACTTTACCCAGCCTTTCTGAATTGTTACTGTCACTATAACCTTTCCCGTCCAAATTGTCCCTCTTTAGCATTCTCCCCGTGTCCCAGTTGTCCTCGGGGCTCCTGTTACTTTCCCAGTTATCCTTCCTCAGATACCTCCCCTTGTCCCAATTTTCCCTCCCAAGCCCTCTCTCCTTTTCCAAAGTCTCTCTCCCCATTCTTGTACCTTTACCCAAAATGTCATTCCTTTTCTGTCTTACCTTTTTCAGATCCTTCCTTAGTCCTGTCACCCCATCCCAACCTTCCCTTGATAGGTACCTCCTCCTGTCTGAATTATTCCTCTTCAGTCTCTTCCCCCTGTCCCAAGGGTCCTTCCTTAGCCCTGTTACCCCATCCCAACTCCCCCTTGACAGGTACCTCCTCCTGTCTAAATTATCCCTCTTCGGTCTCCTCCCCCTGTCCCAAGAGTCCTTCCTTAGCCCTGTCACCCCATCCCAACTCCCCCTTGACAGGTACTTCCTCCTAGCTAAATTATCCCTCTTCAGTCTTCTCCCCCTGTCCCGAGGGTCCATCCTTAGCCCTGTTGCTTCATCCATTGTCTCCTTTGTCAGATACCTCCTCCTGTTTAAACTATTCCTCTTTGGTCTCCTTCTTCTGTCCCAACTGTCTTCTAATCCCCTCATTGTGTTGAAGTTGTCCCTCTTTAGCCTCCTACCTCTTTCCCAGTTATCCATGGGAAGCCTTCCCAAATCCCAGTTATCTTTCCTTAGTGTCTTCCTTCTATCCCAACTGTTCTTCCTCATCTTCCCATCCCAATTGTCTTTCCCCAGATACCCCTTCTTTTCCCAACTGTTTTTCCTCTTTCTTCTGTAATTGTCATAACTGCCTTTTGCTGCTCTTCCCCTGTCCCAACTGTCCCTTTTGAGCCTTCTTCTCTTGAGAGTGTCCCTACTCCATCCTCTGTCCTTGTCCCATTTTTCCTTTTTCAGTCTCCTCCCCCTTTCCTGAGTGTCCCTCCCCAGCCCAAAGTCCCTTTCTGAACCGTCCTTCCCTGAACACATCTGTCTTTTCCACATATTTCTCGACAGCACCTTCCTATCCAAAATGCGCCTCCCCAATTCCCTATCTCTATCCTGACTATCAGCCCTGAGTTCCCCGTTCATGTCCATGTGAGCTATACTACTCAACTGTCTCATTGCAATTTCCAAACTGTCCCTCCTCAGCCCATTTTTCCAGAAGAAAAAATCCTCCTTAAGCCCTTTATCTTTGCTCCACATATCCCCATCCAAATTATTTTTTAATAGCATCTTTCTTCCACCCTGATTTGCCGTAAGTGACCCTCTGTTCGTCTCCCAAAATGCCTTTTTGAGGCTCTCTTCATCCCAACTGACCCTTCCTGAGGTCCTTTTTCCCCAACTGTCTCTACTGGTACCATCCCAACTGTCCTTCTCGTTCCCATTCCACTTGGTATTTCTCATCCCTTCGTGTCCAGACTGTTCTTTCTCATTCCCTTGTCTCTATCCCAGGTATCCCCAACCCTCTCCTTCTGTCCAAACTATTCTTCCCCAGCCCCTTCTACCCTCCCAACTATCCCCCCCAGCCCCCTCCCTTTCCCAACTGTCCCCATTTATAAAATGAAGCGATTGGCCTGGATAATCTCTCAGGTTCCTTCTAGCTCTAGAATTCTGTGTTCCACGATCTCTACTCAGCTTACTTGAACCTAGGATGACAGCCTGGTGTAATGGAAAGCATTGGGTTTGGAGTCAAAGAACCTGGGTGCAAATCCTGATTCTGCCACCTGTGTCCTTGGATAAGTCATTTAACCCTTCATAGGCCTCAGTTTCCTCATCTGTAAAATGAAGGAGTTGAACTAGGTGACTACTAAGGTCTATTTTAGCTCAAAATCTATGAAACTATGAATCCTTTCTACCTACTCCCTTTCCCTGATCCCTTCCCTACCAAAAAAAAAAAAAAAGGCAGATGGTCAAAGGAAATGGAATGAAGAAGACTGGATTTGGAAAGTGGATAGAAAGCCACCCAATTATCCCCCATCTTCTCTTCTCTTTCCAAGTACCCCTTTCTTATCTCTTTCAAATCTTTCCTTAACCCTGTTACCCCATGCCTGCTCTCCCTTGCCAGGTACCTACACCTCTGCAAACTATCCTTCCTTCTACCTCTTCCCCCTTGTCCCTAGAGTCATTCTTTAGCCCTGTGACCCCATCCCAATACTATAAGATAATAGGAGGATAATTGGGTGCCTTTCCAGCCAGTTTCAAATCCAGTGCTTTTCATCCCATTTCTTCTCATTCTCTCTCTCTTTTTTTTTTTTTGGTAAGGCATTAGGGGAGTAGGTGAAAAGGGTTCATAGTCTCAGATTTATATCTAAAAGAGACCTCAGGAGTCACCTAGACTTCAAGTCTCTCATCATGCATATAAAGAAGAGGATGAGGGATAATTATATGGGCCACATCCCCAAAATATTTTATTCTTTCCAGCTCTCCCCATTCTTTCAAATCTATCTGTAACGCATGTAGCACTTAATTCCAATATTCTCATGTTCTTTACCTATTTTTACTTTTTTATCATGTGGTACAGGCCTGTAGGATCCAATTTTGGGGGGAATTGTGCATCCTGGAGCCTCCCTGGATGTTTCCAGGGGCTCCAGAGATGTGGTAAGTAACTTAGCACTTAGACTTGGGGGGGAAAACTTCCTGGCTGCTTTGGGCCATATGATGTCTTGGTACTTAAAGGACTCATCACAATGGTATGATCCAAGAAACTCCATGCCACCCCTTGACATTGACAGAGGGGCAGGATGACAGACTGGTTTAAAAGAGAGACAGCTTCTAGCTCCATTTCTTCCTTTGACTTTCCCTGTGGCATCCTGAAACTCTAAGACTTCTGTTGAGTGACAGAGCATCACATCATAGTTTCATCATCAACCACATCCATATGGTGGTCAGAGTAGGGAGACTTAAATAAGAATGGAATGGAATAAGCATTTATTAAGCACCTACTATGTTCCAGCTGCTTTATAAATATTATCTCATTGGGTCACTAATTTACTTTTCTG